GGGTGAGAAATCGTGTAATAAGAGAAGAATGTGGTATGCAAGATGATGTTATGACGACGATTAAGAAAGGAATGCTTCGGTGGTTTGGTCATGTAGAATGAATGAGGAAACAGTGACAAACCAAATTTTTGTTGCAGGTGTGAATGGCAGCGTCGGTAAGGGACGCCCTAGGAGAAAGTTTGCCAACCAAATTGCCAAACCAAAAAAACTAAAAGGCGATCTAATGATTTCTTAAATTTACGCGAACACTACACATTGAATAAAACTAAATTTACGGATTTTATCGCGTTTATTTCACTACTTTTACTTATTTTTAATTCCCGACGTTTCGGGTGCTTTACAGCAACCATGGTCACGGGGGGGACCATGGTTGCTGTAAAGCACCCGAAACGTCGGGAATTAAAAATAAGTAAAAGTAGTGAAATAAACGCGAAAAATCCGTAAATTTAGTTTCATTCAAAAGGCGATCTATTGAAAAAGGAGCTAAATTAAGAGTACCCTTAACCGACGAGCATGTATGCATAGGTATAGGGATGTGGAAGAGGCGAGAGAGGTGTGTCATGATCGTACCAAATGGAAGTTTGTAGTCTCTGCCTACCCCTCTAGGTGACAGGCTCGTACTGCTAATATCAAACACAATATAATTGTCGCTAAAACGTAGTGATTATATACTCTTTGGTTGTCGGTTGGACCAACGAGGGCATCCTCGACTTTTCTACCACCAGATCGGCGCCACATAAAAATGAGGTGTAATATTTGACAGATTTCATAGCGGGGAAGTTAATTTATTCTTAAATTGTAAATATTAATGTTTATTTCTATACCATTAGTTATATTTTATATTAATTAGATTAAAAATAAATAAACCTATCCATAGATATTCATAAAAAAACAACTATAAAAAAAACTAGAAATATCAAAAAAATTGTTAAAAATGTGCAAAAAATTAAAGAACAAACCACAGAGGCATTGTTTTGTGTATTAATATAATACTCTAGATACTGACAAAATTTTATTTAAAACTAAATTATCAAATGAATGGCGTTGTGTAACAAAAAAACTTCACATAAGTGTCAACCAGCGACATCTAATTGTAAGATCATTAGCCCTCATTAAATTATGTTGTTTGTAACGTTCATATCTTGGACTGCCAAACCAGCCAATGTTTCAGAGCAAGTACAAGCATATTATAAAATGTTATTACTCTAAGGCCAATAACAAACACTTAATAGCCTGTGGTTGAAAAGTCACACAGAGTAGTCATTGTGACCAAAGAATTCAATTATTGCTGACAGATTTTGAGTATTCATTGGGTGCGTTTGGCAGAAAAAAGCGCTAGCAAGCGCTTGTAAGCAAAATGGCGATCGTAAGCGGTAAGCGCTGTCAAATCGTAAGTAGCTATTTTCCTCTAGGACACGATGTTAGTTTTAACCGGGGAATCTAACCTAATTTAAATATATGTTTGTAAAGTATTCATATTAAAAACTTACCAATCATGAGTTTTTAATAGCATGTATATGTTTATTCATGTCATTATATTACTTAAAACTAATATTGCACAAAACAACTTATAAACTCTACTTCAAAACAAACAAATTAAATAAGCAAAATGGCGGATTGTGTCAGCGCTACTGAAGTAGCAATCGTGTCCTGGCCGAAAACTATTTTAGCGCTTATAAGCGCTTGCTAGCGCTTTTTTCTGCCAAACGCACCCATTAGTTTAACACTCAAAGTGACAGATTGGCTGAATAAGTTATACTTATGATATAATATGATGAATTTTGAATGAAAAAGCATTTGGAGTTACAAAAGTTAAAAAATTGATTGAATTATGGTAGACCACTAGGCGACCAATTGGTTGTTTTTATTTATTTATTAGGAAGCCAACATGATATCGTACAATGAAAAAATGTTTTCAAATTTTATAGATTAATCTGAAGTTTAGTACATATCATACTTATAGGCTAACTTAACATGTTAAAGTAAAATAATAAGTAACGCAAATTATTACTGAAAAAGGAAGAAAGGATAACAAAATAACCTATTGTAATGCATCAAACAAAGAAAAAAAACTTTTTTTTTCTACAATAACTCATGAGGTTATCTTAATTTTGTTATAAAAATGTTTTTTAATTTTATTTTTAAAAGTGGTATAAGAATCGTTGAATAAAGCAAGATCGACTAATTTAGAAATTACATTATAAATTTTTAAGGTTCTATTAATTGGAACTGATAGTCCGACATTTGTTCTACAATACCTAGTTTTGAATAAACTATAATTTCTTATTCTAGAATTAGGTCTAGGAATAACATGATATTTTACCTAAAAGATTATTCGAGCTAATTTTATTGTTAACGATTTTGTGTAACAAGCACATGTCCATAAGCGCTCTTCGATCATTTAATGAAATCATATTACAATTATCTAGTCAGAAATAAAGGTACTTACGGAATTTCTTTTGCACTCGTTCTAACCTATTTATATGTGTTTGATAATGTGGATTCCAGACAGAAGAACAATATTCAAGATTACTAAGAATAAGTGTTAAGACTAAGTGTGACTAAGAATACTTAAGAATAAGTGTGAGTTAAAAAGAATTACTTTGGATTTTTTATTTTTAAAAGTTTTAGTTACCCGTTAAATTAATCCTAAAAATTTCAATGATTTTTTTATAACTTGGTCCATATGCGTAGTGAAACTTAATTTACAATCAATTAAAATACATAAATCACGAATAACATTTGTCTTTTTTATGACGAAATCATTAATATTATATTCATTAAAAATTGAATGGATTTTTTTATTAAAAGATATTTGGTAACATTTTTCACGATTAAGGATTGCATTACTAACCAGGAGACCAGCCTGTTAATATCATTTTGTAGTAAGTTTCCATCATTAGCGGTTTTTATTTCTTTACACAATTTTAAATCATCTGCAAAGAGAAGTACATCACTGCTTTTCCTCAGATTGAACCTCAGATTGAAATCCATTTATTACAACCTTTAGCTTTCGGTTGTGTAAGTAAGAAAACACCCATTTTAAAAGGAGCTGTGGAATCCATAACATTCAAGCTTTTTTATTAGTATGGAATGATTCACGACGTCAAACGCTTTTGAGAAGTCTGTATAAATTGCATCAACTTGAAGATTATTGTACACAGACACAAATAAATTATCAATATATTCACAAAGATTTGACGCTGTGGACCTTCCTCTCAAAAATCCATGCTGCCTATCAGTTAGTATAGATTTCATGTGCCAATTTATAATTGGACAGATAGTAGTCTCAAATACCTTTGGGAATACGGATAGTATTGATATGGGCCTGTATTTTGTTATATCGGTCCTATCTCCGTTTTTAAAAACAGGCACAACTCTAGCCTCCTTCCAAGCGCTTGGAAAAAAACCCTCTTTCAAGGAAGCATTATATTATATGATACTTATAGGGCGCGCTAGAGCTGCTGCACATTTCCTAGCAAAGAAAGGCAGTATATTGTCGAGACCAGCGCTTTTATTGCCGTCAAGTTTCTTAAGCTTTGATTCTACTTCCTCTACACTTATATGTGTATTAGATAAAGTTTGATTAATACCAACGCATTTAATGTTAGGAATCTTATTCTCTTTGCCTTTAGGATAATTGGAGTATATACTTGAGAAATGTTTTGCAAAGCTATTACATATGTCTATACCATTGGAAAAGATTTGTGCATTTAATGTCATATAAGAAGGATGTTCACTTTTATTATTTCTAATCTCTTTTAAATATGACCAAAAATATTTTGGATTACTAATTATATTTCTTCTACATTTTTTATGTGATTTTTATAGCATGAGTGTATTAAGGTTTCACATCTTTTACGCAGTAATTTAAACGATATTTCATCAAGAGGGTTTTTATACTTATTATATAAGTTCCTGTATTAATTTTTTTCTTTTAATCTTTTTATTAAGTCTTTTGAAAACCAACGCGGATATTTACTATTTCCTCTCTTATATTTCCTAATATGCCGACCTATAATCTCGCGGAGCTTGCAATAAAAGACTTTTAGCATTTCATCAACATCACCACATGTAATAAAAATTTCATTCCAAGATATTTTTTCTATCTCCTCGATAATAACACTGTAATCTGCATTATAAAAATACATTCTTTCGTTTATGTTTGTTTCTAGGTGTGAAACTGGAGTAAAATTTATACTGATTTCTAGGGGTGGGTGATGTCTGTCTATATGGCTTAAGGGATAAGGGCTTTCTTTAATTTCGTTGATTATAAATGAACTTTCTTTATTACTTAATATTAGGTCAAGAGTTTTGTTAAAAGGATTTCGGACTTGATTAAACTGGTAAAGAGGATTTTCAGCTATGAAATCTATAAAATATTCGTTCATCTTGCCACTATTACTAACAGGAATAAGATATTTTTGACTAGTTTATTCAGTCCACATTATATTGGATAAATTAAAATCTCCTATTAATATTGTATTAGTTTGCTCAACTGATACACGGGAAACATTATCACAGAAACTTTTAAGACACTCATAATTTAATGGCGACGGTAAGTAAACACCGCAAATCGATAGAGTAAAATTAGGATTACCTGCTTTAAAATCAATGTTAATCCACATATCCTCGTAGTCGCTTTCCCATTTCATAACTCTATAACTTTTAAGTTTTTTTGAAACTGCAATAAATACGCCACTACCGTCATGCTTGGTACGCAAAATAGAAGATTCTCTGTCACGTCTAAAAACCACGTATCGTTTATCTATAATTTCGTTATTTAATATACTTTCACATAGCCAAGTTTTAGTTAACACAATAATGTCAAATTCCGAATTTAAAATAGCACTATATACCTCATGAGTTTTGGTTTTAAGACCTCTTATGTTTTGATAAAAGAGACTAATACAGTTCATCAACTAAACAAAAGTGTAACTGAGTTAAAAATATATCATATGTTCTAAATTTCTAAACAAAAAATAATAAATGGTATGGTTTTAAGAAATTTCGTTAAGGAACTCCAAGTTCTTAACAAGAACTACCTCACTGGACGGCGCTTTTCTTAAGTAGATGTTACCATTCCACGACCAGACGAATTTATACGATTTCTCTATGGCAAATCGACGAGCAGCTGCGTGTAATGCCTTAGCTTCCGGGGTAAGATGTTCACACATGAAGACAGGCATTTTTTCACCTGCTATTCCCAAATGTGAAGAGTTCAGTTTATCAGACGGATGGGTTTTAGTGTAATTTATTAGATTAGCAAAGAATTTATCTCTCAATAGGGGTGTTGCAAACATCGCCAAAACAGTTCTTGGACGATTGTTCTCCTTATTCCACTTCGCAATCCGGGTGCATTTGACTATATGACCATCTTCTATATAGCTACCTATAGTTTTTCCTATTTGTTGTAAAGTGTTGAATAAGTTTTCACCACGGTTTTCTGGTATGCACTGAAATTCTAAATTATTTACTCTTGTTTCTTTTTCCATAATAGTCAATCTGGAATTTATTTTTATTTCATTTTCGCGAAGCTTAGTATGTTCATTTTTAAGGGACGATATGTCCTGCATAGCCTCTTCTATTTTTTTTTGTTGCTTATCGTACATAGATTGTAATACATCCATTTTATTTTTAACTAACTACTAACTAGCTTTGAGGTCTGGGCTCACTGAATTTTCTAATATATTACTTATTTCGTCTCGTATCAAGGATATTATGGTATGATTTACAGGTGTCTGCGTTTGTGTAGGAGAAGAATATATTTCATTATTTTTTGTAATTGGAGAGGCCATAAGGCCTTCAGTTTGGTTACGGCTCTGGCAAAATGAGCATTTAAATGACTTCACACTTAGGGATGTCTTCTTAAATGACGTACTGTCAAAACCAACGCATTGATAGTGAAACAAGACCGAACAGGCTGTGCATTTAATCTTATCTTTTTGAAGTAGGGTCGTATTACATGAATTGCAAGACGTGTTACTTGTAAATAAAAGTTTTAATTATATAACTTTCAATGTTAAAAATTAATCGGATATAATTTGTTTAATTTGTATTCAATATAAATTTAATAGTGGGTGTCTTCGCTTACTTCTCTGCCAATCCAACGCACTTTGCAATATACAGCTGCTATGGTCGCGCAAAAAAGGTCTTAAGCGCCGTGCATGTGAAAGCGCTTACGCGTTCATGTCAACACAGCGAAACAACACTTATTAAATTCTTGGAGAAAAAAATTTCGCACATCTATAATTGTTCTGATTTATAACTTCACTATTTTATTGTACTAAATAGTTAAAATCCATGGCTTAACTCAAAACACTTTCCTTTAGCTAATTTAACTCTTATTTTTCGACATCTTTTTTTAAGTTTAGACGGAGCTAACAGCGCGTGCGTTACGTTGCGAACGACGAATGTTTTATACATTTATTTATTATTAATTAATTTATGCTTAACTGTTACCACGTTAAGTAAATGGGTAACTTGAAAAGGGCGGCCTTAATGCCTTTCGGCATTCTCTCCTAGTCAACCCTGGGCCTGGTGAATCATAATGGTAGGCGCAAAAAGGACGAAAAAATACAGCAATTACAATTGTTACCGACTACGAAATGTTATTAGGAAAACTGTTCCATCATAATATATATATCTTAATATATATAAATTCGTGACACGTAATTTATATATATTAAGAAGATTGTTTGTCCGCGATGGACTCCTAAACTACTTAACCCATTTTAATCAAATTTGCACATCGTGTGCAGTCTGGTCCAACTTGAGAGATAGGGTACTTTTTTTTCCATGAGTGACGCACAATTTTTTTGCTTATGTAAGAAGTTTTAATAGGACATGACAAAGGTCGTCGAAAAGGGCAGAACAACGTCTGCCTGGCAAGCTAGTATATGTATATATTACAAAGTGTACATTTATACGCTTATATATGTATGAGTTTATATATATGTGAATATTAATTGCTGTACGTACTTATTATAACACCTATCTCTTTTATCTCTGCACTACTCTAAGGTAGACTGGTAGATAATGCCACAGGCATTAAGTCCGCCTATATACATCTAATGTGTATATGAAGTTAAATAATTATATATATATATATATATATAAATACATAAACACTCACGCCTGTTACCCATAGGGGTAGGCAGAGAGCCGCTCTCGCCTCTTCCACATCCACCATATACATACATGCTGCTCGAATTAATTTTTTGTTATAGAATAAGGGTGACAAACGAGCACACAGTCCACCACATGGTATGTGGATACTATGATGGAGAAAAAATGTCGATACATCTACATTTTTCCTCAATTAAGAATCGAAAAGAAGATGCGTTTTACCCCAGAGGACGGAATGCCTCGTTTCTACTAACCAACATATCCGCTCGGCTACACTTACCATACAAAATACAGCATTAAGCTCCTTTTTTTCTAAAAACGACGTATACTTAATAGATATATATAGGCTAAACTTGCGTGTTAAAAGCTTAGCGTGCTCAGTAGATTGAGACGATTATTATTTCATGTTGGCCTACCGCATGCAACTTTACAAAACACAGATTCGACCTAACATGGAGTACCTACTGTTCCCGGGGCAGCCAAGTATCAGCCCCTTTCAGTTGACTGCATTCAACAGAAAGAGTCGTCGAAGACCAAGTTCTTACTGACCAGCACAGTTCATTGGCTATGCGAAGAGACATTACATTTCCAGGCATCTTCAATCGCATATACCAGGGTAAGTGCTCAGAGGAATTGTTCGGATTAATTCCGTCTGTTGAACTCTACCGTCGTTAACTCCGCTCAAAGTTACCTAATCATCTCGAACGTTGGTGGTCCACTACACACTGTTGAATTTACTGTCGCCAGCTTTTTTCGGGACGGAAACGTCTTAGGGATCTTCAAGAAAAGAGTTCTTTTATAGCATTGAGTGATAAACGAGCACAGTCCACCTGATGTAGCCCATGTATGCCGTAGCCCATAGACATCCACATTTATCTTCAATTAAGGAACAAAATGCAAATGCGTTGTCACCCCTGGGGACTAAGATGGAATGCCTAGATTCCAGTAAAATGGATCTCCGGTTCTCTACACTCATGCGAAACACAGCAGCATTAAGCTACTATTTTACGCTGATATTCTGTGAGAGCGTGGTCCTTCCCCGGTCGAACCGACCCATTCGTGCTCCAACTATAATATAGCAGTCTACTACTGTTTAAAAAGCTGGTAATGCAACCGCAGTTTGCCTAGTGTTGCAGTTGTTCATAGGCCATTGTGGTCACTTACCATCAGGAACACTTACCAGAAGAGATTACATTATACTACATTACAATACTATTGATGAACTATACTATAAATTATATTAGGACTGCAGCAAGAACAAGTCGTACCTACTCACCACCGTGCTCTGTTAACTCGTTAGTTAATTTGAATTATGAACATTTGATATTAAAAAATATACATATAATGATACCAATCAAAATAAATCAACGTACTAATAATTTACTAAGAGGAAACCACAGTCCACAAGTGCACGATCTCATGATCTGTTATCGTCAGCACCATTACAGCAATATAACAAGTCCAATGTAATTGCTACGAAGCGGCTCTTGTATTTCTGTTAACAACTAATTAATGTGAGAAATTAACGCATTAGATACATTCACGTACAATAAATTTAAAAAAACCGCTGTATAAAGCGAAGTACACCAACGCAATTATCTTCAACGCCGACCGGTTCGGTCAAGAAATTTGAATAATAAAGATATGGGATCCTCATAAACAAGCATACGCCACATACCTACTTATCAAATTCAATTCTAATAGTGTTAAAGACTATCTGTTTCGAAATGACAGTTGCTGCCTAATTTGACGCGTCTCAGAGAGGCTTGGGAACAATTAGGGAATAATTTATACCTCTAGATATCTTTTTTTAAACAAATTAGTTGACCGAATATCGAGCAAATCTAGACTAAAAATAATATTTGTATTTAGAAATCAGAAAATTATATCGATCAGGAAAAGAGAGTCCCTCTGGGCTTGTTTACTACATAATAAATGTGTTATAAAGGTAATACATAAGCTATGTAAAATCTTTAAAAAAAATTACACAATATGCAAAAACGTCAATCGGTCCATTGAGGCGGTAAAGTTCTTACACGAACTGTATCCATAACTAGTCGTCGCCGCTGATAATAAGGGGACTGATTCTTTTTCTCTTAAATGCTATGTATCATATCAATTCAGCGAGGAAACGCAGCCAGCGTTCTTGGCAATGTATTGCGTGGAGTATGATTATATGATATTTTTTAGTTTTTGGTTTTTTTATTGTGAAAAAAATATACAAAGTAAAACACAATTAATTAAAAAAATTGCGTTCTACTCATTTGTTACAACTAGTCAAACAAACAAGTTCCAATAAACTTTTGTAGGTGCAAATCTTCTTACATATTCGTAATCGTTTTAAATGACATAGTTTACTTCATCATTGATATTCAAATAAATAAATAAATAATAAAAACGCTACGGTCAGTTGACGCGTCTGCAGCGAAATCTTAACTAGACGGCGCCTGATCTTTGCCAATTTACCGTACTGAGAGTTAAGTTCGGCAATTGGCGGTGTCGCAACCTGCCATCGCGGCTATTACATTATGTATTCATACAATAAAACAGAAATAACGAGATGTGCCCCAAAACGAGAAACGCTCGTATAAGGCACATTCGAATGTGTAGTTGAAACACGTTCCGGCGACGAAAGCAACGGCGACATAAATTGAACATTATCGCGTAGGCAAGAACGGGTCGTAAGCACCGGGTGAGGAGACGCTGTAAGCGGATACAAATAGATTCGTCTCGTTGTTTATGCTGTACCGCAGTAAGTGCTTAATGTTCGTTGTTTCGTTTATAAACGACTATATATTTATTTCGTTTGTAGTAAATAGGACTACACTTCTAGGATTCTACAAGAAGGAATGATAAACGAGCACTCGTTTTATACGTGGTAGAACCATAGAATACTAATAATACATACATAATAGAACGGGGAGTGGGCGAAGCCCGCGTACGCGTAGCCACTAAAATGTCACCAATACGTCAATTCACACGTATAAATGTCAACACGAGATGTGTTTTGACGTTACAATCGTTTCCAAATTTCGCATGCAAATTATTTAAAAAATGCCAAATTGCACCCTACTTACAAATAAATAGATATGTATTAAAATTTAAACGATTTTTTTAATGATGTTCTTGAACATTAATCAAAAGTCTAAAATGTGTCAATACAGCGAATCGGGTTTAGCGACGCCAAACCTCGTACGTATTATAGTATTCTGTGTGTAGAAACCATGCTGCAGCTATATTATGGATGTAAAACTAACAGGTCGGCTCGACCGGTGAAGGGCCACACTCTCACATAGTACCAAAGTGAAATAAGAGTTTAATGCTACTGTATTTCCTATGGTGTGTTTAGAGATGCAAAGATCCTTTTTACTGGTAACAAGACATTGCATCTTAGTTCTCAGACATATTCACAGACTCCAGACTTCGTTGACTTCTGTGAACATGTTCAAGATCGTAAGAGAAGGTAAGGACGTCAAACATCTCAGTCCCCCCGTGACCATGA